TAATTTCGTCCTCCAGCCGCCCTGAGCCTGAATAATATACTGCCGTCTGTATTGGTACAGACTACTCCCTCTGGGGAAAGTTAACCACTGCAGTGGCGAAACCTCCTTCGGAGGCCTAAAAATCACCATCAAGTTAGAATGTTAGCCCTTCCATCTTGGAGTTCTGCACAATGCCCACTACCGCAGTGGGAGATTTCAATACCACGAAATCTACCTGCAAGAGATACTCACTACGCCTGTGAACGCAACAATTTCTTTCGCGGTGCAGGGTTATGATACTTTTCCTGATGTTGCTTCGAAGGACGTGTAGTTGTGAAAGCGATTGGCTATAGAACCTCATTCAACCTTTTAACCACTATTTTTTTTAAACAAACCGGTGCATTTTTTGCAGCGAATGCAGTATTCTGGAGTGTTATAATCTTTACTGGTATAATTCTCTCCTAGCTATTAATACATTCTATCAATGTTTTTTTTAAATCAACAATTGCCAAAGCTGACATTTAAAGGAATAATATGGCAGTGTGGTAAATAGATGCTTAGCTTTGCGAGCCCTTTAGTCGCCGCGATAAGGCCATTTGTCCGGGCCCATGGCCAAAATAAAGGCCAGTTAGCGGTCTTTGCCTAGTCATTAAGATGAGACCGCTTTTTGTTAATCACGTCGTTAATCCTCTCGGTCTCGTCCTGGTTTAGCGCCCTGAGACACTTCTCGGGAAGATTATGCGTGTCCGGCAGACAGGAGGGCTTGTGTCTACCGGGACGGCGCGGAGGTACAGTGGCGGAGCCCCTCGCTGGCCCGTTACCAAGACCGAGAGTTAAATAGACAACCAACTAACATTTGACACATTCTTTCATCAAGGTCTAGTACGGAAGCTAACACACATTGCGGATGTATTCAGACGTTAGCATTAGACGACTTGCTTAAATCCTGCAATCTGATGCCAACTTTCTCCCACTGTGGTGTGGTGACCGTGCTTAGTTAACATACTTAATGTTGTAAAAAAAATAAAAAGACTTTTTACAGTTGCATCTACTCTTTCTACGTCATGTAGCAAATTCATAAACAATTTCTCTTCGGCCCAGCGGGTTGGGTAGCTGAAATACTGGGAAAATTGCCGTTAAAACAGCCATCCATCGGGTTATGTCCCTTTTTCCTTCCACCTGTGGAAATCGGCACCTCCTGTGAATTGTATTACTACTGTGAATTAAAGCAGAAATTCAACATTTTCGATGTGGTTAAAATATTGTCTGATTTAGGCTAATTGGCGTGCTTTTAATTCCAACTTCGCCCCTTGCTTCAAGCAAATTTCGCGCACGTCGGTTAGGGCGCCGCCCCAGTCGATTCAGGAGTTTGGACAGAAAAAAAAATCAAGTGGAAAGGAGTGTAAATTCCATGTCTTTTGTGACAAAGTCCCCTCACACTACATCTAGGCACTTATTCTGGAATGCTTACAATGCCCAAGGATCAACTTTAGTCTCTTGCGACGCTTTGGTGTGGGAGGGGCTGCGAGTCGATCAGCGGAGGAGGATCAAGTAGACGGTCCCCACAATGACTGGATGATTACTGCTGTATTGCCCTTAGATCGTCACTGTCGTGTCTACGATCGGATGCTTTCTGAGAGTTATAACTATTCAAATGTAACTCCAAGTGGCTGATTGTCCCAAACTATGGCATGAAATATTCTTCAGACATAACTTGATTAGACACCTTTGTTCGTTACATACAACTTCGTTCATCACGACAGGGATTTTCGGGCCCGCCCCCATCATCACTGCCCTCTACCGGATCAACGACGTGTACCGCCTACCACTGAGCTTCAACATTGGCAGTCGGGTTTCAGCATGAACGCCCTCCTGTCCCCACTCGATCACCTATCTACTCCCTTTTCCATATAGCCTATTTATTTCAATCAATGCAATTTTATTGTTAAATGACGTGCAGTTTGACCCACCCTCACCCCGGCGTTGCTTACCACCGTAAGGCCAAATTAAGTTGTCCTTGTGACCAAATTATTTGCACTCCGAAATGAGCATTGCAGTTTTCAAGCCGTTAACTATCCTTCTTAACATTGGCTAGGTGACCAAATACCAAAACAACAACCGCAACTGCGGTCGTAGTAAGGCCTTCCGGCGTGGAGTGGGGGTGAGGGGATGTAGGCGTTGGCATCTGGTAATGCCGCCAAGGTGGAAGTGAAAATTGGGCAAACGGAAGAGCCCACTCGGTTAAATTTACTACAAACTCTAACACCATTCGGCTGTAGGACGATTCAATAGGGAAAAAAAAACCGACAAGAATGGTCAAGGTGAAATTGCAGAGACTGACAACCCATCAAAATTCAAACGCTTCCAAAGGATAAAGTAAATAATTAGAAGTTGATTAACCACGATCACCACAAACTGGGAAAGGAGCACATCGTTTACCTGTGAGGCCGGACGCAGATGAGAAAACACGAACGTCACATATACGTGACACTGACGATGAACTTGTTGGGAGCACCGAACGTTTTATTATCAATGATCTAGTTAGCACTAAGTTTTATAGAAAAGTTCGAATACAATGAAACACTTGGTCAGTTCATGTTGCGAGACGAAATCTTCCCTGAAAAACAGGCATTTTGTTTGAGTATTTTCGATTTCATAAAAATGGGAATTAGAAGACCTCCTTTTCCATACATAAATATACGTTTGAAATAACAATGGATTCTTCAATCTTTGCGAATTTCACTCCCGTCCAGACACCGTAAACTTTTGACCTCCTAGGTATTAATTGTGTCAGTCAGGTGGGGGTGTGATTATTCTTTTCACCAATCAAAGGACTTATGCAATGCAAGGCTGAACTAAAAGTGTTTGATTGGTTTTCCAAAACTTGCATTTCATGTGTGACAGTTGAACACTGCCACTTCACCCTATTCAGACTAAGCATACCTTAAGTTAAAAACAATGATATTCTACGGAAACCGCAATATTAGACAAAAATTAACGACTCAAGGTCAACTGGTTGTCGGAAGGCCCTTTAATGATCAGACTACTGCAGCAGGTTTGCAAGTGTTCAAATAAATCAGAGATAAAAATTGTCTGTAGTCGAAATGGAAGTATCAAGAAAAGCATCTACACTGCTGAAAAGTGGGAGTAGAAGAGATGGAGGAGGAATGAGATACAGATTGGTCTCGGTCTATCGAGTTCGAATAGACTGTTTAAGGGCAGATTTGAGAGGTGTCGTAGATATTGGCGGTTTGTGACTCACTCGGATTGGCTGTTGGTCATCGCCTTCCCCCTCCTCATCAACACCATCGTCTTCTTCTTCCTTCTCCTCCTCCTCCTCCTCCTCCT